ATAGTGACATAATTTTGAAGTACTTTGGTGGTCTTTAGTTTGTAGCTGATTGTCGATAGGTGAGATTATGTTGCGTTTTTCTCTGGAGATCTTTTAAGAATAGAACCTGCTAAGCTTTCAGACCTGCTTTCGATGACGATTAATTTATTTTGCAAAACCCATCCCACCGAACGTCACTCTAACGCGACACTGTCACTCAAGGTCCTTGTAATCGTTGATGACCTGATGGGTTCATTTAAACTTTAAATAAAATAATCTACACTTTTTTGAACTGAGGCTCTGTTATTTATGAAAAATAACATCCGAAAGATCAGCAGGAGTTGATAACATGGAAATGTCGTTGCTCTGCTCGGCTTTGCTGTTTGTCGGCTTCGTCGTGTTTGTCTCTGGAGGTGAGATTTAGCTATTACAAACTACACTGTTTCCTTCTGATGCTCTTCCTCAAGATAGGAAGAGTATTTATGTAACTCGGTTCCACAACTTGCGTAATTATGCATACTTTATTAATCCCGTAGGAAATTAGTCCTCTGGGGAGCAGTGTGTAGACACGGTACCTTTCTCAGGGATACCTCAGGGTAGCTGTTTGGTGGATTTGAACCCCCAGCCTTGTGATTACGGGGGAACACTCTACCTGCTGAGCTAGCTCTGTCCCACTTGTAGACTGAAGTGTATTTCTGTTCTGAAGACAGGAATAAAATGATCAGACAGCGTCACATGGCTCGTCTTTGCTGTATTCCCTGCCAGGATTTCATTCAGTTCATTTGTTATAGACTCTTCTTCACAATGATAAAACCACCACTGTGCCTTTACTGTTTTTAAAACATTTCTCCGTCCATGCTACTTGTTTTTTTTGGTAAATAGAATCATATTTCTTTGCTACATATGCATCGTCCTTGGGACGCAAAGACTCGACAGTCTCGAACAAATCGTCAGCAGGGACAGTGAGCAGGTCTTTATGGCTTACACAGGCTTCATTGGCAGGCAGCAACAGGTGTAGAAAACAAACAGGACAGGAAAGAAACGTCCAGACAGAAGGACAGTTTTAACTGTTCTTCACCATTATAAATAAAAATTATAGTTAACCAAAGAAAACAGTATAGGCTGCTATTATTAGGTTATACCATTACTAATGCAAGGCTGCATTGTGTACTTTGATTCCTTTAACCTCGCTGCTCTCTTGATTTCTCTTTCAGACCCAAACATCATCACAGCCGAGTCTGGACAGAATGTCACTCTGCCATGTCGAGCTTCGAACAACAACAACATTATAATTCTTGAGTGGAGCAGAGCTGATCTGGGGACACAGCATGTTGTTGTGTACCGGGATGGGCAGTTTGCTCCAGACGACCAGCATCCATCTTTTAAGGACCGGGTGGATCTGCAGGACAGACAGATGAAGGACGGAGACGTGTCTTTGATTCTGAACAATGTGACAACTGCTGATAGTGGAACATACGAGTGTCGAGTCTTAATGGGAGAAATACACTCGTGGGAGCTCAACATTATTTACCTTCGTGTTGTTGCTCCAGGTGAGTGAGTAGAGTTGAGTGTGTGTGTGATCAGAGGTGAAGCTGCTTCCTGCTTGTTGATGTTTGTTTCTAAAGATGTTGTTGATGAGACTTTGTAGAAAGCAGCTGGTCTGAGTGATGTGATCAGAGTGCAGTAGATAATGATTTATGTAATGTAATATAATGCCTACGTGGGCCAGGTCCTCCAAAGACCGAGGAGGCTGGACGGCCAAACCTTAACATTTGCGTCACAGTTGGACTTTAATAAACTCAGCTGTCTGCTCCTCATCTAAAATATAACAGGACATTGGAGTAAATTCTCAACCACCTCACACTTCTTTTTAATCAGCTGTGTGAAAACTTTAATCTCAGCCAAACCGATTTAGTCAGGAACAAATAGAACACAGAAAGCCAAACAATAACATTTTAAGTTATCTAAGTCACTTATGTATCATGTTTAACCTGAGTATCGAAAGAACGTGGGGGGAGGGGGGTTTGAATACAATGTGCCGGGAAGCCGCTGTCCTTGCCGGCTCTAGTTAGCCTTGAACTCCCAGTGAGCTATCGAGCGGGTGGGTAACAGACGTCTCCGAAAGTGTCGGAGCACTCTTGCAAATACCTGATGTCCGGCTAGACAGCTACATTCTAGCCGGAAAATATGTTAAAAGTTTATTTTGTTGACTCAGAAAGATTAATATTTCAAACTCACCAGCCCACTCCTCCCACATTGCCACAATTGAAAAGTATTTTTATATTATTATAAAATATTATAAATAATAATTTAACTAGTAAAGTATTGATAAGAGTAATACAACTAAGTAGCTGCCACCATTGCTGGAAACTGGGCCACGTAGGACACATCTGACCCATCCTTCAAATCCACGGAAAAGAAGGACGCATTTCGAGGAGTCTTTGAATTGGGACAGCCTTCATCACCTGGCTGTGATGTAATCGGGATTAAAATGCAGCCTCTGAATTGGAACATAGCAAGTGTCTGACAGCAGTTCGAAGAGGAAATGGATTCTGTTCTGTTCTTCACTCATCACCTACCTGACAGCTGACACCTCACACCTGTTTCTCACCTGCAGGTCCACCAGGAGGAGACACAGAGGATGGAGGGAAGGAGGATCCAGTCAGTAGAGGAAACACTGGCCTGGGACCAAGTGTCAGTTTTTTGTGTACTTGTTATTTGTTTTATCTGATATTTAAAGAACCATGAAGCATGAAAACTGTGTCTTTTGAAACAGATCTACATGACACTTATTGGCTAGTTTGGCCCTTGATGTTTAAATTAAAAAAAAATATTTACAATTTAAGCTTATTCTGTTTCTTCCATTCCATTTACATTTTGCTGCCTTTGAATTTTATTAATCCTCATGTTGTGTTCATTTTGTGTTCAGCGATTTTTTGTGAACATTAAGATTTCTAGTTTTGACACAGCTCCTAACCTGAGGAGATGAAGAAATTATTATCTCATGTCCCCTGATGTCTGCAATCATCTCCAGAACCACAAACATCACTTGGTTATTTTCAGGAACTCTGTCTGCAGGTATAAACGTGTATTTTCCAAGCTTGTCATGTGAGGGCATCACATGCTGCCCATATCTTTATGTCATAGTTAGACTGCTTGCTTGTTATTTGAAAGGGCAGTCTCCTCTAAAAGCCACCAGATGCTCATCTACAGTGACATTTGGAGGATGAAGATGAGTTGCTGTCACCCCACACACTTGTCTTGTTGAGGGCAAACTGGTCTTGTATCATGGTTCAAAAAAGGGAGGCAAAATTTCTCGAGGGACATTCTGCATTGAAAAATTGTCTGACTAAAATCTGCATCCCATAAACTGCTCTTAAATTCATTTCTGGATGTGTACTCAGCACTCAGCATCCAAAGACTGCTTTGGTGTCTTTTCTGGGTCACCTATTTCCAATCGTCTTTGTAAGTTTGTGTCCCCTCGAAATTGGTCAAGTTTACCACTATGGTTTTGATGGACTCAAGAACTGTTGAAAGTAGGATTTGATGTCATCAGTCCTGGATACAGCACAGTTTGAAGATCCCGTGGTCATCCAGGATGATATTTTCAGCTGAAAGCCTAACTTAATTCTCAGGTGGGGTTAGTTCTTAAGTTCCCGTAACGGTTGCCAGGGAACCCAAGGTGTGTGTGTGTGTGTGTGTGTGCGTGTGCGTGTGCGTGTGTGCGTGTGCGTGTGTGTGTACACGTGCATGGGTGCATATTAATCTGTGTCTCTCTTCCACAGCATGCCTTTATCCTGTTTTCCTTCTCTCACCCCAACCGGTCGCAGCAGATGGCCCCGCCCCTCTGAGCCTGGTTCTGCCGGAGGTTTCTTCCTGTTAAAAGGGAGTTTTTCCTTCCCACTGTCGCCAAAGTGCTGCTCATAGGGGGTCATATGATTGTTGGGTTTTTCTCTGTATCTATTATTGTAGGGTCTACCTTAAAATATAAAGCGCCTTGAGGCGACTGATTTGGTGATTTGGTGATATATAAATAAAATTGAATTGAACTGAATATGTCCACGTGACAAATGGAGATGTATGAATATAAAATGAAATTGTCATGGTCGCCCATTGTGTCGACCTGCCAATTTTGTAGCCTAAGGCTTCTGTGTTTGATGGAACCACTTCATAAGGAAAAGGCTGCAGTTCAGTCTTTGCCAGATTGTTTTATGCTTGCAGTCAGTGCTTCCTAGTCCTTACCCTGTGAGTGTCACAAAGGACCAGAGGCCTATACTAAAACTGGGCTCAAGTGCTGGACCAAGTGAAGAGATAGTTGAGTTAGTTTTACACAATGCTTTTACTTTTGCAACAATGGGAATGTGGCAAAACGTTTAGTGTGAACACAGAATAAAAATCATGCTTGGCACGAGGTTCGTGTCTAGGAAAACTAGTGTGGAGCTCTGAGGCAGGGACAGGGCATGTTTGGTAACAAGTGTGGTGGCACTGAGGAGAAAGAACAAAGGGAGTTTGTGTATTATAGAACTCCTACAGGTGTACATTTAACTGAGGGGTAAGGCGTACGTTCCAGGTGGAGTCAGAGGTGATTTGAGGAGAGAAGGTGTCGGAGTAGCAAGCAGAGCCAAAGAGTGGAGCTGTGACGAGAGAATTGAAGCACAAGAGAACAAGGTAAGGCAGCTTCTTTCATCTTGGTGCATTCTGGACTTTCACCTTTCTGCACTCGTCCCTGGCTGAAGAATTCCAAACTGTTATTACTGCTATAGTTTTGATATAATTTATTTAAATATGTAATATTAACTGATGATGGCAAATGCAGCTCCCCAAACATCAGCACTAAATTCATTTTTCATCTTAAATCTGCTTCTGCTGCCTGTTCCTACCTCGTTTCTGTCCCCCACAAGCCTGCATCTTGAGCGCTGCAGTGCTTTCTAAAGTGTCGTTGGTTGTAGAATTTGGAGTAGATGTCTTTCTCTCCTCAAAGGTTTGCTTTGTTGAACATTTCTGTGTATTTTTCTCTCCTTTTTTCATCTTTTTGATCACTGCCTTGTATTAAAAGTGTATTTCCTCATGTATTGAAACCAAAGAATCTTTTCTCATAATAATGATGAGGGGGGAAACCACATGAACTAACACCCTGTAACAGAGGAAGGAGGAGGAGGTTCATGTGTTATGTGAGTGAACTGATGCAAGAAGAATTAATTCAGTATCAACAAAAGACAGAATGGAGAAATCATTTCTTCTGCTTTGTAAGTATACTGTAATGGGTTTCATCTTTGAAAAGGCCTAAAGATGCCACTTCTTTTGTTTCTCCACATAAATATCGAGTTTGTGTAGAAGACAACAAAGAGAGAATCACTTCCTGCTTATTCTGCTTATTCTGCACGAGTCTGTAGCTCGATCAAACTGTGTAAAACCTCTAAACCAACCTCTGTTTCATTTCTCTTTAGTTCTGATCTCACTGCTGAGCTACACCACAAACCAAGGTCGGTAACCTTCTCTTGTCCTATTTTAAACCAGAAATAAACGACACATTTTAAAGATTAAAATTTATTGACTCTCGTGAATATGCATGAATATTTTCAACCCAAAAGTTCTGTTAAAGTTTGATCACGATGAAGATGCTGTGGTTTGACATAGTTAATGATGATCACCAGGAATGTTATTTCAGCCCTAAGTGTTTATGAAAAATATAATATAAATATACTAATATAGATTTTCATCACAGCTCTTCTGACTGTGAGTCCCAGCAGCTCTCAGATGTTTGACGGAGACTATGTGTCTCTGAGCTGTGAGGAGGACGACAGCTCTGCTGGATGGACTCTGAGGAGAAACACAAGCAGAGAAATCAGAGCTGAGTGTGAGGAGTGGGGAGCAGCAGCTGATTCTTCCTGTAACATTAGCAGTGTCCTCCCATGGGACAGTGGAGTTTACTGGTGTGAGTCCAGAGAGGGTCCCATCAGTAACATGGTTAACCTGACAGTCACTGGTAAGCTGAGTGTGTGGAGTTAGTGTTGATGAAGCTGTGTGTAAATGGATGAAATGCTGTAGTTTGTCTCTGTGTTGAGGTGGATCAGTGATCCTGCAGAGTCCTGTCCTCCCTGTGATGGAGGGAGATGACGTCACTCTGCTCTGCGAAGAAAAGAATTCCTTCAGCCTCCCGACTGCTTTCTATAAAGATGGCTCCCTTATCGGCAACGAGACGACAGGTCACATGACCATCCAGCATGTTTCCAGGTCTGATGAAGGCCTCTACAAGTGTGACATCAGCGGTCATGGAGAGTCTCCATCCAGCTGGATCACTGTCACAGGTGAGGAGCTTCACTCACATTTTACCATTTCACCTACAAATTCACCTGAACAGGTGGGATTCTCTCTGCAGATAGGCCTGCAAACACAATCCTACACCCATCCTCAGCACCACCTCCTGACCCCACCTCCCTCAACCTTGTGTTCAGCGTTGTCTCTCACCTGGTGGTAATTTGTCCATACTTCATCTCCACTCTGCTCATGGTGTCTTTATATCGACACAGAGCCAAAGGTAACACTCCGAGTCTCCTCTGATTTTTCTCACCAGTTTCTTTTGTTTCTATTAGAAATGTCTCATCTTACCTCCTCTCTATGCTAGCATCCCTGCCGACCCAAGCTGAGCAGAGACAGACTGAGGACTTTGATAACATTGTGGAGGTGACCACTGAGCATCACTTCTGAGTTGCACAGTAAGAGTTCCTGTTCATTCAGTCAGAAGGTGGATGTCACATCACCGTGGTTAACCAATAAAAGAAATCTGCAATACACTGTTTACTAATGCAAACATTTTGTTTGTTTTATCAGCGCTGCCAAGTGATTCAGAAGTTCTTCACTGGTGCAGATGTTGCATTTTTCTTCCCACACATTTCCTTGCTTTGCTGTCAATAAAAAAAACAGCAACAGATATTTGCTCAATAAAATAACAGTATTTATTTGTTTTTGTTTTGTTTTTTTATTTTAAGGGTTTCACTTCACAAATAGTGTAGCTCTGTCTGGAGCCACACTTTCAGCTCATGAATGGACTCCAGTAAAGTGCAGAGCCAAAGCCCCTTTATCTGATGACACAAAGAAACTTGTTGTCAGCATCTACAGTGATTTTTACCATTTAGTCAAAAATCTATACACTTTTGTTCCTGTATTTGGCTTTTTTAAATGACAGTTAGCAGTGGGTGTTCTTTTTATTCTTTACTGTTTTTTTTTCCAACCTGACAGTAAAAGAAACTAACAGGTCTGTAGCCCAGTTTCCTGTTTTCTGGTAAAACGGCTTTAACCAACACGGCTGACGTCTCACTGCAGGACATTTAAGACGTGCATGCACACTAGTCCACACACCACACACGTTGCTTATATGAGTGCACATTTGAATATTCTACAAACTGAAATCGATATTTCCTATTTGCAGCTTTTGACAAGCCACATAGTGGAGACAGCAAACATGTCAAAAAAGGTTCTCTGGTCAGATTTAACGTCTTGACCTTGCAAAATGCTGCCTACAAATGATTGACTCAGGTGGTCTGAATACAAATGCAGAAACATTTTTCAGATTCTTATATGTAAAAAAACAACAACTGAACTCCATGTACTATTTTTTCTTCCACTGCAGAATTATGGGCCAATTGTCAAAGGAGCTTGGAAAGAAAAACGTCTGGACTTCTTCTACGATGACCTGGATGACTGAGAACCTTCACAGACCCCCCACCCCCCTGACACTTACTAATTCTCATCCTCCCTCTTGATCATAGAGGCTCAGGGTGTTGGAGATTATGCCATGGTCAGGGTCGGAATCCTCATCAACGCGTCCAGTAAGAGTCCCAGACTAGACCCTCCTTTCCCACATTTACCTAAGACTGATATACAAAACACAATATACAAACTAACTGAGAAAAGACAATCATGTACAGGGTTGTTTGTACACATGATATTAATCAACAATGTATTTCATTCTAACTGTTTTTTTTTTATTTCTAATTGTGGTTGCTTTACTGTACAGATTTCCCTTAAAAATGTTCAACATTAAAGACTTTATAAATCTTGTTTAATAAATGTGATATTTTTCCACATTGGTCGATGTCCTTATTCTAAAAACTTATTACAATATTTTAATAAGATTTGTTAAAGTTGCCTTTTGGTTTATACTTAAAGGAAATAGCCAAAACACATCAAGGGTAAAATTTAAACAGGTCCACTTAGAAGAAATTTCTTGAAGCACAAGTCAAGAAAAAAAAATAAAATGAGGAGAAGCTCCCATTTCCCCCTTTTCTGTTTCACATCTTGACTGAACAATTTTACAGATAATACATCTCAACCCATTTTGACAATTTGTTTTAGAGTTTTACAGGCTCACTTTCTTCCCCTCTTTTATTCAACTCCCCCTATTTTTTATTCCTCGGACAGAGAATTAAACACCAGCTTGTTCTGCCAGCATTTTAAACCTGTGCTTGCATGCAGTCAGGACCATTGTCATACACATGTGAAGGTGGTTATTGTTGAGCTTGAAACAATATTTAATTTTTAGTATTTCCATTACTGAGAAAACTGTTTCACTGTTGCATATGGAGGTCAGAACTGGGGAAACCGTGTCGGGTTTTAAAAAGTGCTTTGAAATAGTTGTATCTGCTTGGACACCAGTTGCATCTGTGGTGTCATCATTTACCCATGAAATCCTCTATTTTTGCTTTTCACTTTCCTTTTTACAGAATACCCTTTCTTCATTATTTTTCACCTCTGTCTTTTCTCAGCTTTCTCTGATGCAGTTGTTTGTATCTTTGCATGTGTACTGCAACTTGCCTCCAACTCTCATCTGTCTGCACTCTGGAGTTGCAGTGTTTACTAGGGATCCTCTGGCCAATCCAAATATTGATATCATGCTGGTATGAATGCTGCCCCTGTAATTCAGATGCACTGCTGTAAAATTCTCTTCTGTGACATTACTAGCTTATTTGAAGACATAAAAGTCGATGAAAAAAAAAAAACGTTGTCCCAAAACAAGCAGCAAAAGAAACAAAGAGAGGAGGAAAGAAATCCCGAGACAAACCCAGATCCTGAGCACAGTGGTCACTGTCACAATCCTTTTCAGAGAAGCACAGAATAATCAGCACGTGGTCACTGGTTAAAGTAATGTTTCAGTCATGTTGGATTTTCAGCATCATGTTAATATATTACTGATATGACTACCATCAGTTTAGACATTCAAATAATTCATTCAACCCACTGAAACATGTTTAATTATTTTATTTGAAAATCAACAACAACAACAAAAACGTCAGACGTTCACTGCCCAGTCTATTTTATTTAATAACATTACCGTAGTTATTGCTTTGTTGACCCCTACATAAGCTGCATGTAAAGGTTCAAACTGTATGTTTCACTATTGTTACTGGAAATAATGGCCCTGTTTTTATTTAGTATTGGATCAGTGCCAGAAAAATGACAGTAGCGCTAGGTATCACGTAGGATAGCTTAACTCCTGAACTCACATCCAGCTGGCATCTGCAATTAAACAACTACCGTAAAGAAGATAGCTTGTTTAAATGAAAGAAACGCAATGTTTAAATCATACTTCTGCCTTTGTTTTATTGTTTGTTTGTTTTTCTTTTTGTAGCTGGGTCCTTATGGAACAGCTTCCGGGTCTAGGTTCGGACCGCCTGTTAAGCTGTGTGTGATTTTCCGAACAATTTATCAACTTTTTTGCGTGGGATCGGTCGTATGCAGTGTGAATTGCCTCCCGCTAAAGTGGTGCCATTTTTTTCTTAAGTTTTTGATTTTATTTAGTTTTGTAAATTGATAAATGCCATTTTAAATGTGGACTGGAGTTTATTGTCTTTTTGGGGTCCTCCCAACCCCACAGCCACGCCTACGTCGTCGCCGTCAACGAGCTCCGCTTCCGCCTCTTTGCTATGAGGATTGTTGTTGCTAACATTGCACTTTTTTTATTTTATTTTGTGCCTTTTGCGGCTCCTCTGGATCAAGGTGAGTTACAGCAGGGGATGGGTTGTTTTAAAGGATCCTCACAGGTCTCATATTTCACGTATCTAACTTTCTCTCTACGCCATAACGGTGCCTTTAAACCCAGCCGATATCTCAGCCCTGTCTACATTTAACATTTATGACTGCAGGGTTTCTCCGACAGTGTTGGGCAAACTCCAGATAAAACCATAAGTCAGATTTATCATCTTTAATGAACTCTCAAACTTGGAAAGTCGAAGAAGCCCCACCAAGCCCGCGTTAGCAACAGTTTATTGCTTACATTTTAAAACAGACTGCTCAGCTGATGTAACCTGTTTTGGTAGCTCTCGTGACTTTAATAGCAACGCCATAAACGACACTGGGACAGCTCGATCTTAACGTGGCGACTCCGTTTATTGCCAAACTGCAACATACAATACACACGGCACAACCACCAGAGGGTGCTGCATGAACCATTGAGTTAGTCCTTACCATAACATAACCGTGTGTTCCTGCACTGTGCCTGACAATGAAAGGCAAAAAGAAAGACTTCCACGGAAACAACTTGCCCGCTCCAGCTCCTATACCCAATACAAACACTTGGGATGAGAGTTAGCTCAACCCACTACACCTTCAAAGCTACCAGGAATTATCTGCTCATGCTAGCATTAACACACACACGATTACTACAATAATTAACAACGCACAATCAGAAACATCAGAGTGGATAAAGATATAATTAATCTCGGAAAAGAAATGACATAGACCTCTCCTACAGGGGAATTATAGAAAAGGGGAGAGGCCGTAGGGGTACCCCAAATTTATAGGGTTGTACCAAAGAAGAAGAAAAGGATGACGAGGGGCTCTAACTAATAATGAAGATAACTACAGGCTTGCAGGTCCTAAAAGTCAGCTATACCAGGAACAGTTTGGGGTTTACAATACATTTTGTGTAATAACAATATGTGATTTATGACCCTGGCTACAAAAATATAAGAAACAGATTATACATCTTTTACTGTAAAACATCCGAGTAATCAAAGTTTATCATCACGTCCACTTCTGCTTCTGATCACCAAGCCCGCAGCCTCTCATCCAGTGTCCGCACTGCCCAGCTCCGCTCCTCAGGCCTGAAGACTGTCGGATTTCACTCTGGACTCAGTTCAGTTTAGCTACAGCTCCCCTGCTGCTCAGAACAGCCAGCAGTCTTGTTATACATAAAATATAGAAATTACCTGATTTGCAAGAGCCTTTATGACTCAGAGAGTAGATACAGTCTTATTTGACACATCAAATATCTTGATAAAAATGTTTTTGTTGCAGTTTCTGCTGCCCTCTCAAACACATCTCTCTTGAAATGCATATGTAATCACAGGGAGACTTTTTACCTGGATGGATAAATAAAGGATACACAAAAGTTCGTTGAAGGTCATTTTAAAAAGAAGGAGCCGGAAAATAAATAATAATAACTACAATACTAATTTTACTTGTATGGTTATTTTTTTTCATCTGTATTCTCCGTTTGTTACTCATAGTAAACAGTGAATTTTGTGTTTATATCACTCAGAGGTAACTGCGAGTCCTGGAGAAGATGCCATTCTTCAGTGTCAGGGTCCCGGAGATGTGGAGATCACCCTGTTGGAGTGGAGCAAACCTGAGCTTAAGTCCGATGGCTATGTATTCTTCTACAGAAACCAGCGCCTATATGAAAACTACCAGCACTCGTTCTTTATAGGCCGAGTGGAGCTGAGAGATCCATTAATGAAAGATGGAGACTGTTCAGTGATTCTAAAGAATGTCAGCATCAGGGATGCAGGAACATATGAGTGTCGCATTACAACCAGGAACACCAGAAGAAATAAGGGCGTCCAAAGTGAGTTCAAGCACTCCATCAAGCTCACAGTCAAATCCTCAGGTGAGTTTGTGGAAGTGTTACAGTTTCTTCCATAGGAAGTTTTACATTTTGCAGATGTGATGTTATTGTTGTGGTTGGTGCTATTAAGTTATTTCCCACTTCCATTGTTTGTTTTTGCATGATGGGGATCTAAAGTTTCAACAGATTTTTTTTGTTTTTTTATCTGTACACCAACACATTGCATTTAACTTCAGCTTTAAATATTCAGAAAGTGCTGTTATTTATACATGATTCCTAAACTTGATTCAAAGTGTTCGATGTGTATTTTATAGTTTTTCACTTTGACCTTAAATAGGAAGCCCGAAAGATGCTACAAAGATGTGAGGGAGCCAATAACTGGGCTTAAAAGTTCACGTAAACCAATCGGAGAGAGAGAGCATAAACATTAGGAGTGACATAAATGAAAATCTGGTGCATTGTTACAAAGAATGAATGTACTGACCTCGGGCTGTGAGATGTGACCAAAGTCTCATGTCAATACAAACAGTTCTCATCCCAATAACGACATATATCACAAAATAGTGCTTTTTCTGAAAGTTCATTGAACACAGCTGGGCGTTGTGTACCTGGAGTCGAGTGTTTTGACCGATGCATGAAACGATACATTTTTAGACATAAGTTGTAACGGCCGCCATTTTCTTTGTATTTATTACACGGCGTGCTGCGGGGAAAAGCCTGTTCTAACGTTTGAGTCTAAG